TACAGTACTTAGCGGAAGGAGTTACCCTGTTACTCTTTGCTATTTGTATTGATCTTCTTACAGTTCATATTAATCAAAATAACAAAGTTTATTATGCAGGACGAACATCACAGCATACAAACCCTATAAGTTTCACTGCTCACAGATCAAAGTCCAACATATTGTCTTAGAAAAACTTTGAGAGAACTAGTGTGGGGCTAGAGATTCAACATTTTACAAGATGGTTAAGAATTTTGTTGGTGTATCATAAAGGCACTAGTTCAGTTTAGTTTTTAAATGTACAAAAGTCTTGGGAATATGGTGGCAACAAGTTTTTCTGTGAGTGTGTATTTGTGTCTTTGTGTGCCGTGTGATATCCTACCTTGTGTCCAATACTTGCCAGAATAGGCTTTGGTCCCGCTGCAACCCTGTATTGGAAAAAGTGGTTAAAAATGGGTAGCTGTAATGATCTGTGTATTAGAGACTGAATGTATTGAGGTGAAACTGTGAACTAACCAAATTTCGTCAATCATGTAGGAAATTTGTTGTTTTTAAAGCATGGTTCAGGGTTGATATTACCTGGAAAGATGATTCATTATCCTGTTTTTGGTCTAGCTCCAGCTCTGTAAATAGTTCTATTTAGGTTTTATTTCAATTCTGAAAACAGAAAGGCATTGCCCATCCAATACGCAATGTACAAAGCCACAGACATGGTGAATTTTTACCAGATGCAGATTTTATTCAACATGGACTCACAGGATTAGACGCACACACTCGCTGTGCTGCTGTGGTATTCCAGCTCCACAGTCTTGGAGATAATATATAGATTAAATCTTATCTTGGGCTCCAGGATCCTCCTCACCCTGTCTCTGTGCTTAATTGGGGAAAGTTAAGTCTCGATAAGATCTGCCAGATTGCCATTCCTCTCATTGGTCATTACAGAAAAGAAAAATAAAAAAACTGTCATACCATAGTGAAATAGTGAAATACTTGGGGGATCATGGTAGTAACCATTGTAGTACGTTAAAGCCTCTATGTTTCACATCTCCTTAACCCTTTTGTCTTTTTATATCCTTTACTGTCTTTTTGACGTATTGCTTTAATTAGGAGGTCTACAGTGTGCTCTCCCTAGAGTGCCGCAATCCAGTAAGTCTTGCAGGTGACCTGTGTAAAGACTGGGAGAGCTTCAGAATCAGGCGAATTAAGCGACGAATCGATTCTATTTTTAACTCTGATCCTTGATCCCAGTGAATTACTTAATTAACTGTGCCGAAAGGTGCACAACATTTAAATGTGTAGCCCTGATTTATCTTCTCCAGCAGGGGTTCCCAGTCCCTTAGGGGAGCCCCCACGCCTGCTCCCAGAGAAGAAGAATAATAATAATAAATAGTTGCTTACACTTACGTAGCGCTTTTCTGGACACTCCACTCAAAGTGCTTTACAGGTAATGGGGACTCCCCTCCACCACCACCAGTGTGCAGCATCCACCTAGATGATATGACGGCAGCCATAGTGCGCCAGAACGCTCACCACACATCAGCTATCAGTGGGGAGGAGAACAGAGTAATGAAGCCAATTCATAGATGGGGATTATTAGGAGGCCATGATTGGTAAGCCTGGAGGTCTCCCATCCAGGTACTGACAAGGCCCACACCTGCTTAGCTTCAGTGGATTGCCAGTTGTGAGTGGCAGAGTGATATGGCTGCTGGAGCGAAGACTTTCCACCCCTTTGTGCACAGGTCCGAGTCCTCATGCTTCCCTGTTCTACATATTCCTAATTCCCTCTTGTGTGTGAAGGTCTGATAAACTTTCCCGATTGTGCAAAATTGGCTTGTCAGTGCCCTTCAGCGTTTCAGATCAAATCCTCCCATGCTCTCTTAAGAAAGACTGAGTTCCCTTAATTTTTCTGAGATTCCTTTGTTTTTTTAAGAGTAGGAGATTGGCAGCAGTATCCCTCTTTGTAGCATAGTGACCAAAGAGGTCACAATTTGCGAACCATGTCCACTTAATGCTTCATTTAATTCTCACATTACTTCCTTTCATTTGGATTGGATAGCGTCAAGCACATTGTTGCTCTTTCCATTGCTGTGCACTTCAACAGAAGTGATGAGTCAACATTTAACTCCTAAAGCATTTGTTGACAATGGCAGTAAGTGAAATGTGTTTTAGCATCACATCCCTAAAAACGAGAAACCATCAACTACAGAGTTCAAGCATATACTTTATTACAACCATGAAAGATTGTTTCAACGTACAAAATACAGTACAGGCAAATATTAATAATAATAATAATTGCTTACACTTATATAGCGCTTTTTTTCTG